GATTTTGGAAAACACTACTGAGGCTGCCTTGCTTCCCTTCAGAAAATCTACATTTTAACCAACTTACATGTCATTCTATGTTATGTTGACTTTATCACATGAAAGTTTATAGTGCATTTCATCAATTAATAAATAAATGTGAAAATCGTAATTTTCAACACAAATAATAGTCTTGCTACCTTAATTGTAGATTTGGATCTATGCCATGACCTTTTGGGAGTTTTTACCCAGTACAAATCATGGTTTTAGAGAAAAATCATGAGAACATTCACTAAAATGGATACAGTTTGTAATAGGAACAGTTGTAGTTTTTATTATGTGTTGCTGTGAACATAGTTATGTGGAACTCTCAGCAAGAAGTACTCTTACTAATTAGGATGTGGTTAATAATTAAACTTTTACACAGCAAAATATCTTGTTCAACCACACTTCATTTTACCTGTTTACGTTCCTTGTATTCTGTCTTCTTGTAGGTGGACCAACATTTTGCGGAATTGCATCCTTAGTACTGATGCAGCAACTAGACTCAATATTTACAAATAAACAAATAGAACGAATAAAACGATGGTGTATATTCCGACAGCAATCTGGATTTCAAGGAAGACCAAACAAACCAGTAGATACTTGTTATTCATTCTGGGTAGGAGCAACTTTAAAGGTATGGGCTACAATAATAGGTGTCCCAAACTCATTTTCGTTTAATTACACATTTCATGATTCATATTTTATTCTTTTCCTTTGTCTGTAAATAATTTTCAGAATATCCAGTGTTAAGCAATGTGTGTAGCTGAGTTTTTGTTGAACAGCGATAATAAAATAATTTAGGATCGTTTTATTTCCGAGCCTGCATAACTTAGAGAAAATATAAAAAAAATGATGCAACCCAATCTTCTATGAAATGTGGTAGGCCTGCATTGACAGACTCAAAACAAAAACGGTATTAAACATTGAAAAATGTTGGAAAAATAAATTGGCATAGTTTAAAAAAAAAGCTAAATATTTGTCTAGCAAACACATATATTCGTTTTCATAAATAATTAATATTAACATTAGTCACCATGTCAGGGGTCATCTTTGTCATGCACAGTAGTAAGATCACACAAAATCCAGTGATGTTTTTTGTGGTCTGGGTCACAGGATTAGCAATTTAGCAATAGCGACAGTTAGTTTATCATCTTCAACAGGGGATTGTTATTTTTCAAATATGGCTGTTCTGGGATTACATTGAGTACATTTTGCTACATTAGCATATACGTGTATTTCTGTTTACATTTGATTGGTGAATCAGAATTATTAAATTTCCATATTCAAATAATTTTGAAAGCTAAGTTGGTATTTGTAAACTGCTTAATTCTCAATATTAGGAATTTTCAAGATTTAATTACCTTCAAAATGTTGTGATATTAAAGACGCATGTGAAATTTATCACTGCTATAAATGGCGATTTTCATTGACTCCTGACATTTTAAAAATGTTGTCGTTTGCGAAATTAATTATTGGAAAGTGTTCAAATTTGATATCCATATTATGTAATTCATTTTATTTAAGAACTTAGATATGATTAAAGGAGAGCTGTGCATTCTCATATCATAAAAATATGTTATACATTTATTTTAATATTTATTTCTAGTTTCAAACAACTCTTGTATTATTTCAGTTACTTGGTGCTTTTGAACAAATAGATTATTCATCTAATAGAAATTATATACTCTCAACTCAAGACAATGTTACTGGTGGTTTTTCAAAATGGCCAGACTGTCATCCAGGTAAATATTTTTGCTTAAATCACTTGTATTTATTTCTTAGCATTTTTAACATGACATAAGGAGATCAAAGTTCAGGACAGCAATTCATTCATCTAAAAAAATATGTTCAATGAGTGATTTAATCACACCTGTCTATGAATAGAATAGTAGCGTATAATATTGCTTTATTATAGATAAATTATACATTTTTGTTTGTTTGTAGTAAGAATAAAGTAATATCTTGAATCTTAATATAAAAAAAAATATCTTAAAGACAGAGAGTGTATACAGTAACTTGTAACAGTTTGTTATTTGGAAAGAATTTCTTTCTTTACTGTATATACAATAAAGTCTGTATATATTGAATTGTGGGACATTTATGACATATATGAACTCATCTCTGTTATGGTCATCTATAAGTTTTATGTAGAACACATTCTGTAATACAATTAGTTAGTAATGCAGAGAATTTCTTCTCCCAGACTTTAGGACCCTGATTTTAAGACTGGTATTGATTCCAACTATGATACAGATACATATGTCAATTTGTCTAAACTTGTACATCCTGTCAAGGAACCCTGATAATAAATAGAAAGGGTAATAAACAGTTTTCTTTTTGTTTGATAGATGCATTGCATTCCTACTTTGGTGTGTGTGGACTATCTTTAATGAAAGAACCAGGGTTGAACCCAATCCATGCTGCAGTGAATATCACACAAAGAGCTTCAAGCCATCTGAGTAAGATACATGAACAATGGAGGCAAGACAAATCATAATAACTGTTGCTCAAGATGATGAAACAGAGTGTGAAGAAAGCCATTGAACTGAATAGCTATGTTTAGAAATCTTAAATGTGACAGCAAGGTTCTTAATAGTATACTGTAACTGGACAAATATGGTTGAATTGTGACCAATACATTGATAGTTTTCCACTTATTTATAAGTATGTAGTATTCTGTAAATTTAAACATATGTGTATTAAATAATTCTAGTAGATAAAATTCTCTGACAACAAATATGATATATCCAATACAAGTGAAGTAAGAAATACAGTTTCTGCTGACAAAGTTTTGTTATTTTTTAAACTGACCAAACTTACTGCTAGAAAAACAATACTGAGTGATGATTTACTCTATTAGAAGCACATCTCCAATAGAAGCTCATATAAACCAACAATAGAATTGATTGTAAAAATGTGACTTAGTTTGACCAAAGACACTTTATGCGCAACTAATAGAGCAAAATCTGTAGTTATACATTCATTCTGAGAAGTACTGCACCGGGGTTTTGAAATAGAATTGCTGTTTCAGGGATAGAACTTCAGTAATCTGAGGTGTGCCCACTTTCAGTGGCTTCTAAACAAATTGTGAAAGGCTAATATAATTGTAATTAATAGATGTGGCTATACTGTAAGCACATCTCGACAATATGAATTTTGAGTTCAGGTATGTGCTTGTTCTGGATATGATTCATCAATATTTAAAACAAAATAAATATGTTCAAACAAAACCACTATGCGATTTTGATGCTGAAGGAATTATTTAAATATTTTATTTGCCTGATGGTAATTTATTTTATTAATATTTTTCATGCAAATTGTTTTCCCATCCATTAACTTGCCATATGTGTTCAATCTATTGGGGGGGGGGGGGGGGGGTAGGTGAGTGTGAAATAAAATGGTGACAATTCATCATCATGTTGACAAATAGTATTAGAGGATTTGCAATATAAGTTACTGTATCCTACCTATTGAAATGACATCAAGCCCATCAAGCAGTGGTATGAAATGTCAAGCTATGCAGAGTTGATTTTAGTGTTTCAAATACGCAATGTGGACCATAATGTGCATGAAAACAATTCCATTAGTGTGTACGAATAAACGTTTAGCTCGCACAATGGGTCTGAATGGTATAGACGTAAAAAAAGCACACAATTACTATGCACAGCCCTCATGAAATTATGCAATAGACAAAGTCATCTTGTTTTTATATTCTTTTTATACATGTAAGTTAAGCTGATGAAATTTTACATTGTTATTTATTTCTAGCGCTACAGGAAGTCACACTAGTACCAAATTATGTGTACAAATTTGAATAATAAACTATAAGATGCATTGATTGTCATATTAAAGTAACATCCTGTCTGCCTTTATATTATGGACTGCAAATGTTTCATCACCAGGCAAGATTGATGCCATGGTATGTATGAGCTCTCAAATTGCAATGACTAGACCACAGGAACATTATAAATATTTTAATTTATTAGCCATATCCTCAATGTTATCCGAGTGCATAATTTAATGGCCTTCGCCAACGAACT